TGAGTTAAATACAGTAGAAAACGGTCAGACGCTGTAAAAGAAGGAACTGTCATGCATGAAAGTAGAGATTTTTGAAATTATTCACAGTTTTTTCCACAGTTTACATGCAAACTCATATTTATTTATAATCATTTTACTACATGAAATTCAACAAAGCAGGAAATATCTGTAAAGTAACGGTAAAATGTTCAGGAAGTTACTGTTTATTTTTTAAAGTGTACTTAAAGCCTTTGTTGCACTTCTGCAACTTAATTTTAAGTTGTGTCAACTTGAAGTTTCCCATCATTCCAACTCAAGCTTTCGCTTTACCCAGACATAAAATACAAAACATGTTCTTGTCAGTAGACTTACCGTTCTTTCCTCTTTTTCTTCTTTGTACTTGAAGAAAAGTGTTGCTGAATAAAAAGAAAACGTGGACAGTAAGATCATCAGAGGCACGAAACCAAAGGAGCAGTGAACCTGGGCTGAGATTACAACACCAGTTAAAAGGGACAAATTCTAATTAGAAATTGATCGACAAACGTTGAACCAACCTCAGCAACGAAGAAAAACAAATGAGCTTCGTATGAAATCACTTCAACATACAGCTCAAACACGATTTCCTCGGCGCAGGCCAAAGGAAAGACGAAAGTATTTGAGCTACAGCGTCCACTGAGTTAATTTGTTCATTATTTGGCACAGAGGGGAGTCTGACAGTGTTCTGCAGTATTTCTCATCTGAACGGAGGGAAAGTAAATGAGCCGCTGACTCATTGTCTGGATTTAACCCCACACAATCAGCCGAATTACTCCCGTGTTAAAGATGAGGTTTCCAGGTGACTTAATCTCGTGTTGTTTTACGCTCCTAACGTGATAACGAGGTGGTTCGGTGTAACAGTAAACTCTGCACGGCGCTGATACCGTCTGGATTATTTGGCATGTAACTTTTTTTCCGCCTGGAAATCGATTTAAGTAGATTTTCCATTGTCCAATTACTTCTCTTTTTTTTTTACCCTTCCTGTCAAATGTAATCATAGTTTTTTTTTCTTTTTTTCCATCCGCCAGCCCTGAAAACATATACGTCAGGGATTGCAGTTTCAGACCGGAATAATGAGGAGCAGCGAAATGTTAAAACATGATGAGTGTCAGGCGTCGTCCCTCGTGGTGTCCGTATATTCCACCGCAGGCTGAGCGAAGTGTTTGCGTGCAGATAGCGAATCAAGTGTTGCTGAACTCTGGCCCCCTTCGGAGTCAAACGAGCATAATCTGCCGAACTAACCCCTCAGCTGTTACCTGCTTTACACGTCCCACACGCCAAATGTAGTTGCTGCTTTTATTCCGGGTTTTATTATTTCCAAATTCTGAATATCGTCTTCAAGTGGCGAGCGGCTACAAAGGCGCTCTAATGACTTCCTAAGAGAACCGTTTGGAAACGGGGAAGTTCAGTTCTCCCTCTCTCCGGTTTGTGTTCTGCGTAAGACACCCACAATATGATCCAGCGAAGGAAGGAAAGCACGGGTTCAAAATGTCAGCAATTAGTCGGTAATTAAAAGCGAATCCTTGCGGTCAAACGTTGGCATTTGGTGCGAAAGCGGTGCTCTTAATTATGCGTCGCGTGGTGAAAAGTGTGCCCTCTGCAGCGCTTGACTTCTATGGAAGTTACAGAATCAGATGGGGGAACTTAGTCTTCCCCCCTTCACGGTGCCTTCTAACCCCTTCCTACCAAATAGGCCCCTCGTCACACCGGAGCAAGGTAATTACCCGTGAAAACTGTACGGCGACATTTACTCTGACAACATCTCCCCCATATGCGGCCCTAATTGAGTTGAATTAAGGCGCTTGGGCTCCATTGTGAATACCACCCTCGTTTAATCATCGCAGTGGGACCGAGAAGTTGGTATTTAGTTGGATTTCTAGGTCAACTCCGCGCTCCGAAGGAGACGTCCAAGAAGATGTAGTGCAAATGAGGTTAGAAGGTCGAGACGGAGGATCTATGTTTCGTGTAAATCAGAGGAAAGGTGCCGCAGGAACGCTGTTTTACGGCTACAATCCCATTCATTTGATTTGTTGTGCACCGTTATTTTCATATTATCGCATTAATTCTGTCTCGCGGTCGCCCTAAAGAGCAGCACAATGTCACCTCTTCACCCCGATCTGAGATGGATAAATTGCTGCGTTTAGTGTGTCCAGGGACCTGGTGTCAACCCACTTTCAGAAGTCCGGTCGCTATACCCGCAGGAGAGTCTCATCCGGAGCAGCTTGAGTTAACATTTAAACAGCAAGACGGGTTTTCTTGACTCAGAATGGGCCTTTTGTTGGATGACTGTGCACAGCACGATAAAAGAAATGAGTCAGTGTTGACTTATTTGACGGAAGTCTGCGCTTTTTCCTGTTATTTCTGACCAAAAAAATGTCTGCTATGCCTGAATAAATGAAACCCCAATTGAAAAAAATTGATCTGGTAATTTCCCCTTTTAAATCTGGCTAAACTCTCTTTTGGAGATGCCAAAAAAAGAAAATCGTCTGCGCAGGAAAAACCCTGAGTACTAAAAATGAAGCATCACTGCTGCTGCTGCTCTGTAGTAAGACGTTGTGTTTCCATGTTTATTAGCTCATTTATTAGGATTATTCTGTTTTACCAGAGGCCAAATCTGCAATTACACATCAAGGTTTGAAAAATTCAGTTAGAGGATATTCTTGGATTCAGCAGCTAATTCAATCTCAAACCTCGAACGGTCTTTTTATGTTGGAAAGGTCACAAGCTGTCCTGTTGCTCCACATTGTGCCTTGACTCATGGATTTTTTGTCTCACGGCAGAACTGTGAGCCACATTTTTGATTTTCATTCCTACGTCTGGAATTGAAATATGCTCACAACGACAACGCTTGAACACTGAGGTTGTTTACCATCGTAATCATGTATGGTATCTAAAAACAGAGTTCATCTGAGGCTGATGGGAATATTATTAGCTGAGCTGTAACTTGGCCGTAAACCAAAGCAGTGGACACATAAAAAATTAGACATATTGACAGGGGAGGATGTAAGCTGAGGGTGTCACAGACAGTATTACGGATCATGTCGAGGAAGGCACCACATTTCAGGGCAATCGATCCAACAGTTGCCGGGACTTTACGCTGACAACCACAAATGTCACCGTCGTGGTGGCATTAGAAGTCAGCGGATCAACAAGAAAAAAAAGTGCTTATCCATCTACAGATACATGTAGAGATGTTTTGCTGGATAAATAAAAAAATAAGTGAAATTGTTGGTGGTACTAGAGAAAAGCTGAACAATCATCGGATGGATTTCTCTGGCAATCTATGTGCTGTGAGAGTTCTTCAGCTATTTTACTCCACAAGTTGTGACCAAGATCAGATTTCAATTTGGCCACCGTACCTCTTGAACCCTCCCTGGATGTTCCACTCTGTAAGCATGTAAAGCACCATTCATGAAGCATGCTGGATCTCTTCCACTGTGTCAAAACAATCACCCCTCAACTTGATTTTCGTTTTTGGGAAGAAGAAGAAGAAGAAGAAGTTGCCGGAAGCCAAATCTGGAAAGTAGGTTGGGTGGAAAGTGACGATTGTTGTGTCCAAAAAAAGAACACACATGGGCACA